GGTTACTGTAATGGATGGAATTAAATTTGAATCCAATGATATTATATCCTATTATATCCTATCTTATTCCTATATCATCTATTTGGTGAAAATGTCATGTATCATATGGTCATTTGTTTTAAAGTTACATCAAAAACCAAAATCGTTTTTGTCGAAAACTGATTGTTCGTAAAAATTCTTGTTTTTTCCTTCAGTTTTAGTTTGTTTATCCCGATTATTTAGAAAAATATTGAGAGTTTTTTACTTTTGACCCCCCAAAAGTACCAACTAGATTCACTTTCTGATCGAACGAGGTACTGAAGTCGAAGATCGAAGCATTTTTACTGCCCCAAAACGTGAGGACAGACACACACACAAAAAAAAAAACACACATCATGGTAGAATCTAAAATAAAAGTCAATAGGAAGTGTCACTACTGGGTGGCTTCTTCCAACAACTCATCATGTCATTGTAAATAAGTCTATATTCTTATTGTGCGTCAGGGTATTGATTTTATATTTCTTACAAAAAAAAGTTAGATAACATGGCTGAAAGAGATTTTAACCGTGTGTGGGTTAATATTAGTATAATATGTTATACTTTTGCATCAAGAAATTAAGATTGATCCAACGTGTCTTTTAGCTAAAGTTCTGGGAAAAAACAATGCATTTGAATAAAACATTTAGGTAAAAATATAATTGAGCCTAAAAGAGAAACGGAGTTAAATCTGATTAAAATAATGGCATTAAATGGCTATCACGCACAATGGAATTGTACTGATAGACAGCTTTATTGACTATCAAAGAAAAAAAATGTGACTATTGTATACCTATATATGCGTTACGATAAAATTACATCAGTTAAACCACGGTTTTTACAACGGCTGTTGGACAAAAGTTCGAATAGTGGGCTTTAACTGATTGACTTCGGAAAATTCTAGCTGGATATATACAAAATAGTACGGTCTAGTACTGAATGATTATTATGGTTTGTGGTTCCGTTATATTATACAGATAGTAAATCTTTGGAGGATACACGGCAAACAGTAATGGTAAACGTATAAATATTATTGGATTTTACGGATATTTGTAATTTAACCTTCACATAATGTATTATGCATTTATACAGAGTTCTTTGTTCTCTGCTTGAATTTGTTTTGTATAAAACTATAACATCAGACGAAAAATACATTCACGTTTAATGTTATAATTTAAATGCATTACCTATTGTTGATTCTTTTTTTTTATTTTGACTACCTAAAAATTATTTTTTTACCTATTAAAATTAGAAAAACAATTACATGGATTTTATAATTTTATGTTTTTAGTCAATACAAAACTGGATACGATTAATTGAATAAAATATTTTGTTCTACCGAATTTTTAACAAAGCGAACAACAAACTTTGATAAAATTGTACATACAATTAAGAATGACAGCCGTCTATATACGAAAGGAAATAAACCTTAAAATATTGTATGTTTCTAAATAACTACTGGTGGAGTAAAAACTTTTATTTAAATTAAGAGAAATATAACATATGCAATGAAAACTGTCTAAAGCGGAAACTCTAGACACAGAAACAATTCCATTTATGTTAATTTCGCGTTTTATTCGGGCAGGTACTACTTACTTGTTTTGTACAAAAAAGTAAAGAAAAATTAAACAAATTTATATTTATTCAAATTATAATATATTAAAAATTTAAATTTTTTTCTACTTTCTTTAATTTATTGGTAAATATTTAGAAATGTTTCAAAATTCCAAACTACTTATTGTTTTGTTTTACTCCATTTGTTTATTATAACATTTGTTTGCCATGGTTACTTCATTAGCAATGATTTTGGTTTCCGGTAAGCTACTTTTCAACCAGTTGAGTTGGTCTGATCGTCACGTGTGTAGATACCAATTTTCTAGTAGGTATCTACCAAGACGTATTTAATTGATGCTATTCAGATGTTAAACTAATAATTTTAGACTTTTTATAAAAAAAACTTAACAAAATACTATCGAAAACTGCTGGAAACTGTAAAAATACTGTTTTGTTTATTTTCCACGATTATAGCCATTTTATATTCTATTTTATTTTTTACATTCTGATTCTAGTAACATATACACATTACACCCTCTAAACATTTAATGAATAAATATTGAGGTAATGGTTCCTTAAATATGATTTAGTGACCCACGATAAGTCTATTAAATTAATCAATTTTCATGTAACCTAGTATAAATCATATTATTGTTCTTACTTTTCATCTTTTGTCTGTAAATGATGTAATATGTAAAATATGGTAAAGATTAAACATACTAAATAAATAACATATATTAATACTGTAGTGTTGTATATTAGAACCATAGCTACACTCAGAATTATTCAATCGCAAATTATATACCTTTATTAATAAAATATATTTGACATTATTTTAGTCATAGAATTCTATCAAATAAAATGTCGTTTTATTGATTACGAACTAATTTAATTATTTTTCATGCCTACCAAAAATGTACATCGGCGTGGTTTCGTACAACTGCTTGTTTTTATTATATATTTTCTGGTTAGTTGACATACAGGTGACATAATGGACATGAATTATAGTTTTGGAAATGTAAATTTTCAACATGAAAATATAATATTGCATATTTCGTGTTGATTTATAGTAATATTTAATAATTATAATTACCCTTTAATACATTGTAATATTATACATGGGACCTGAAACATGGTATTGTGATTCAGGATATTATAAGTGCCTACTATATACCACAAAAAGAATATTAATTATTAGTGAATTTATTTCTTTCTGTTTATATTTAAGACTTATATTATATTAAAATTTTTAATATGTTTCATGTTGATTATAGTCGAATTTATTTCCAAATATTTAAATTTTGAAGTATTGAAGGGAGCAGGTACATAAAAAAAAAAAGGTACATAAAAAGTATATAAGATACAGAGATTGTTAAGTGCCCTTCACTCATATCGACGCAACAAAGTTTTGCATTATTTTTAATAAATTTGGAAACACGAAACAAATATAAATCATTGCAATTTAAAAATATTCTTAGTGGAATTCAGTTTTTATAGTATTTATGTAGTTTTCCAATTTTTAAGTGCTCATAAAAAATTGTGAAAAACTGTTTTTTAGATTCCTTAAATATAGTTATAGTACGATATCATTAACTGAGAATTAATATTTCAAGTATTCGAAACTAAAATTTTAAAAATTGGAATAAAAAAGGAAAATACGTTGTGATTCATGAAGCCAATATATTTCACCCCAATTCTAACTTAAAAGAGGTAATTATGTTTATAAAAAATAAAACGGATAACTTTAATTTAAGAAACTCCTTATAATTTTGTAGCAAATTATATGATAATAGATTTAAAAAGCTAGTAGGTACCTACCTAGTATATCATAATAATATTACCTATGTGCTTGAAAATCAACTTGAAAATCAACCAGAACATATTTTGTTTATCTTACACAAATACCTATTATACAATTGAAAACATATTTAATAAAACGGAATGGTTTTTGAATCATTATTTTCCTTAAACTTTCTTAACTAATTAAAAAGCATAATTTATGAATATATAATAATATTATTGTTTTTAAGTTGTTTAATTAATATATTATATTATTATACACGTAATTGTATTTAGATATAGTTTGTCTTTATATTTTCCAATAATGTACCTGCATAATAAAAAGTTCAACGCTTTATTGTATCTTTTATTCACATAAAAATTAAAATATTATCAACGTTTTATTTCAACAGTTAATTCTCTTATTTTATGACAATTGTATTGACTGATTACTGCGGTATTCTATCATCATGCACCATTCAGAAGACGTTAACTCCCGCATGTGTTATATCCTTCTTACAGTGTCTAACCTAAGCTCTTGCGTGTCATTAGTATTTTAAGATATATAAACTATTTATAATTTTAAAATACGCATAACTCGATTTTAAATTTACATATAATAAATAGCCTATAAGAAGCTCTCGATAGAAATGTTACCTTTATTTTTTGTAAGAGTTCAATTCACTCAAAATTTTAAGCCAACGAAGCTAAACGAGATCTGCTGAGCGTAAAATTTGATATGTTACGCAATTGTAAGACGAAGACAACACATGTGGGTGTAGCGTCTTTTTAAGACAAAAAAAGTTGTAAACGAAAAAAATATTTAATAATAATAATAATAATAATAGTTATATAAAATATAGCTGTGTGTGGATATTACCACTTTTCTTTTGTGTTTTTTTTCTCCGTAACTTTATTCATGTCTCAAGTGATATTATTACTTACTGTGAAATGTATGCGTTAAATGCAATATTTTGCGAGACAAATAAAAAGAGCCTGACCTAGCTCTTTTGATGTTTGTTAAATTCAAACAGAAATGAATGTGGATGTAAAATATACATATATCACTATATTTTAACTTGTTGGTAAAAGTTTTTAAATGTCGCAAGTATTGGAGATTTTTGATGATATTATTTTAAATTATGATCAGAGTTCGAGTATTCGATCTATTCTATACGTTGTGACTCGTCTCAGTCGTCTCATCCCGATCGACTCGGAGAAGCCAGTTTTGTATTGTTAGTTTAAACTCAAACCAATGAATAACAAGTATACGATTGAAGCTTTATCTGTAAAATATATTTATAAATCACGTTAAACGTAATACATAATAGGTTTCCTGAAAATTTATTTTTGAGATACATATTTTAAAAATAATAAGTGTTCATAAAAGATGTTGCGAATATTGATGATGGTAAATATTTGAATATACTGTACTCAGTAAATATAATTCAGCGGTATCAACAATTGAATTTATTATTATTAAACCCAAAACTACGAATTATTTTAGAATAAATCAAAATGCAAAATTTCCGATTTTGTAAATAAATCTATTAAAGATTAAAAACAGTGCCAAACATAATTTATAACTTGATGATATTATTATATTGAATCAAAATATTTAAATGGTTACATATAGGTACTATAACTAATATATAATATTTAGATAGCTCCAATAAATTACCTCATATCTTGTTTATATCAAAATCTCATTGGGTTTCAAAGTATGAAATACATTACAACAATATGTATTTGACTCTTTTTACATTATCTTTATTCTACATACGAATTATTTTATAAATAATGAATAACCTTAAAAATATATAGTACAATTATATATGTAGGTAGGTAGATAAATTAATTAAACAATATAAACTCATATATATTTATAGTCATTAGGCATATACATAAGCGTGTAAAGAACTTAATATAATAGGTACATAATAATAATATGTTTTACTTAAATTAAGGTGTTTAAATTAAAACAAAAACTTAACGAAACTCAATAGTAAGAACATTGTAGTAAAGAATACATATTATACATTGAAGTCTTAATGTTGTAAACGAATATACAACAAACTTTAATAGCTATTTAATTATTGTACGAATAATTTTATGAAAATCTTTTTTAGGTTRAACAAAAAAAAATAAAAAACACGGCTCAGTCGACCAACATTTTCAGTGCGCTTATAATAGTTATGTAAGACTTAACAGACTAGTTAAAATAAAACAATTTAAAATCTTTTCGAGATCACAATACCTGAGTAATTGTTAAAGGGCATAAAATAAAGTGGCGACCAAYGCTTTAAGACAGATCTCGATTTGTGTAAATGTTTGGAATAATTCCTACACGAGTCGACGATGAATAATCTCTTTATTTGTTGGTGGCACAAACTATTATTTTAAGAAATCGATTTTTGGTATATATTAGTATAATATGTGTATTATTAATATATTATATATATGTATTCATTTCAAACCTTACATTTATGTGTAAATAACAAACGCAAACGTTATTTAAGTATATATATAATATATATATATTAATACCTAAGCTAATAATGTTTATTCGTGACTAGAATATACATATCAATATAAAATGTTATATACATATTACATAAATGATATTATTTTATATGTGTATAATGTATAAATAGTAAGAATATCATAATTATACATATGAACGATAACGGAAAACTTATAATTACCAATTAATGTATACAGACAGAAAACTTCTTACTACGTAGGTGCATTACAACAGCGTTTCTCAACCTTTCAGTTGCAAATTTGCAATGCAGTCTAGACCGAGTGACGAGTGATTTGATTCGTGAATTATATAAGAATATTATTATATTATTTGTTTTTGTTTTCTTGTTTAAACCATTAATTGACTTTTTGACTTTTGAACATCATTAGCAACACGAATTAATTACCATTCGCCACTGGTGAACAAACCCCTTATATTATGCAGGTAGATCACAGGAATATCAAAATAGTAGTAAATTAAAATGATAGCCGAATAACGAGTAATTGACATACACCGAAAGCATTTTGGAGCACAAGTATATGCGAAAAGCGAATAACTATAATATGTGAATAGGTACTACTGGTTACCGCCTTGCCATCCTATCATAGGCCCACACTCAAACTAAGTTTATCGAAAAACGCCTCCCGCTAATATATGTAAATTTCCGGGTGGCTCATTATAATTTGTTATTAAATGAAAATAAAAGTTGTGGAAAAAAATGCACATAAATACTATTCGTTCACCCTATCATAAGCATCGCACGATTCGTACGAGTCTCCGAGGTTTGTGTTTAGACCATAGGATGGKGGAGGAGGATTCGCCTTTACTGACGTGAAAAGAGGAACCCGGTCGGAAAATAATCGTGTTTCACGSGTAGGATATCCGACAAATATCGAACGAATCACACGCGGTGCACATTACCGGAAATTCATGGTATTTCGGTGGTGCGGTGGGTGAGGGTTGAGCGGAAACGGCAGACTCAGACTAAGTGTCCTTCCGTCTCGTCCGGTTTGTGCGCGAAAGTGGTGAGAACGTTTTGAGACGAGAACACAGTGACGTCAGGTGGTGGAGGCGGTGGAGGTGGCGGCGAGTAATAGTTAAGCTTGCTGACCATCGGTGGTATCGTTGGAGGTGGCACCGGTCGGTTGTGTATAATCGGTGGTAATGGCACGGCCCGAGCAATCGGTGCACCCGGCATGGCATGATGAGGTTGTTGATGCTGCTGCGGCTGATGGTGATGCTGCTGATKCTGCTGCTGCTGTTGCTGCTGCTGATGCTGTTGGAGGTGGTGGAGATGGTGGAGGTGATGGTGGTGGTGGAGGTGGGAAGTCCGATTTTCTGCAACACACATGATGAGCCAATATTGTTTCGGTCAGTATTGGTTTGTTTGTTTTTATATTTTTTTTTTCACAGCAGACTATAGTGTAGTGCTAACTGACACGTCGCGTGCTTATATTATCACAACGCACAGAATATTGCGATGATAGGTTAATCGAAACGTGGTATAGTTTTACACGTGTTTCATAAGATTATTAAGATAACACAATATTGTTAATGTAATATTATCGTTATCATCATAATTATTGTTATTATTATTGCTGCGTTTTGTTATGTTAAATGCGTAGGTAAACCGAAACCATATTATTAATTCAAGCGTGTTGTATATATATATATATAAATAATAATGTGAGACTCCGTCCATGCGGAGGCTTATTTTAGGACCATCTTGCAGGCCTTACAATATATTATGTGGCGGTTAGCGGAAGGTTTAACATTTTCTCAAATTACCGATATTTCTTCTGTCGTTTGGGTTTTCGTGCATATTGTAATGTTGCATCGATTGGTCAGAGCTCACGCTTAAGCCACCGCCGTATTGACCATGTGGCTGCAGGGGATGATCACAATCGTTGATGAAAGGATAATCTATCTGTTCGATCAAATATGATTGTTCGGCAGACTTTTGCTGTTGATCGTCCTGCAAACAGTTTTCCGTCCGTGATAGCTATACAATTCGTATTTATAAATTTTTATGTTACCATATTATGTACCCCCGTTTTATAGGTATATTAAAAAAAAAACATATGTATGTATTGTTTATTTTTTGTTTTTAGTTTAACGTGCATGCAGATAACACTGATACAAATATATTTATAGAATAACGTAGATGCTACTTACGTTATAATCCGGTGAGACATTTGAATATGTTTCTGATTTGGCAGAAATTGAGCTTAAATTTTCTTCGTATCCTCCGTTATAAGTATTCGGTGCATACATTTCGATCGTTGGCGCTTTACTACTAGAATCGTTGTTTTCTGTAAAGCAATGGAAAATTCTCAATTCGAATTACACTAAATTAAAAATTAACGCACGGAGGTAACCTGCTAAGAGATCTGCATTAATATTAGTAAAGATTAGCTTAACAATGTTTTACCGCTACGGTTATTCATCAAAGCACACAATTTTTTGGATATCCTTCTCGATTAAATAATATAATGTCGTGGATAATAGAATATTAGTTATATATACGTACCGTTGCTCATCTGTTTGTTGACGTTACGGCGCCTATGAATGCAATACGATACAATAAATATGCTGACGAGTATCAGCAGACCGCCAAAAACTCCCAAGAAAACAATTACGATGCGCATTGCATCGTCGGTCGTCTTCTCTGCATTCGAATCGGATTTTAATTGGGCATTTTCCTCTGCAAGACATAATATCAACGGGTTTCAAATTAAAACGATTGATTTGATAGGTACGACCATGGTTTGTCTGGTCATAACGTTCCATTGACGTGACGCGTTAAATTAATATATATTTAATATTGTCGATACGAAATCCGACACAAAATTATTGTCGTACATATTTAGTTTGTTGTCTGGACTTCACAAACATATCGGCTTCTATGAATTTTTCGTTACCTAATAGATACCTATTTATGGTACGCATGTTCACATTAGCCGTTCAAACCGATAAAGCAACTAATGACTGTATATCTATAATATATAGTATAATACTTTTAACATTTCATTTGACAATATTTTACGTGATATATTTTTGAAAACCAAACCGAATTAGAACCAAATATATTTAATTATACGAAATTCTCTATAATACGAATATATATAATATTGTTTTCTCTCTCGTGAGATTTCGTAATAAGGAAGTTTCACTGTTTATTATGTACAATTTATACTATAAATAAATTACTGTGTATATATACGCATACGCATAGGCTTACCTACTTATTAAATTGATTATTAAAAGACATCTAACACTGTTATTTATCACTTTACGTACTTGTTGTGGTGACTTTGATGCTCTGAGACACGTATGAGCTGTCCCCATACAAGTTACGGGCCATGATTCCAAACAAATACGTCGTGAAAGGTTCGAGTCCATTGATTGTGTGATGAGTTTCGTTTCCGAGTTCTTCGTATCGGTACATTTTAGAGTCGGATTGACGGTATCGAATGCGGTACGTAACCGGTTCGCCTAAACAAGCGAAAATTTAGTCCATGTAAATTATATTTGTACTCATATTTTTATTAGGTACCTAAATAAAAATAACGACTGTTACAATGTCCTACTACGCTATCTGATATAGCCAGAGAGGGGAAAATTACTCGATTAGTTGTAAGTTGTAACTGGTTACATGCTACAGTAAAATCGTGTACCTATCTAATTACGAGATACAAGATATTTTGGAAATTAGTAACTGGATACTAGTAGTTACAATAGTTTAGATAAATTTAAAGTTACAAATTAAGTAGGCACTAAATGATTTATGTTTATTATTTCAATAAAATGATAATGACATCACTGATAAATATATTTTGTTGTAAGAAACAACAAGGAAAATGTAAGTATATTATTATGTTAGTTAGAAATGAAATTTAAAAGTATTCACATTGAATCATAGGTTATTTTTAATGTGAGCGCTTTACTATGATAGAAATTAACTCTTTTTGAAAATATACGCTTTGAAAAAAATATGCTAACAAACCAAAATAAAATAAAACAAAATGTATATGTGCGGTTAACAATAACTGTTAAAATATTTATTAGTATTTGACCGTAGTATTTAGAATACTACTTTTTTTTTTTTAAATCATAAAATATTTACTTAAACATTTTATAAAAGTATCGTTTACAAAACTACTTATTCTCTGTTATTAACATTTTAATTACGAATACCAATACCCCATCCTCGTAATCCCAGACCCTTGGTGCTTACATATAAGTATTGACTAGACACCTGCCTATTTCAAATTTCAATATATAGGATACTGGTGGCTCGCTCGCGATGTAGTATACCTACGGGTGTATTGCACTGGAAGATAAAAATCTAATGGAAACAATTAACGAAAATTTCAAACAACTCGGTTTGCGTATTATTTAATACCCGTTTCTCTGGGTGTCGGGACGGAGTGGCTAATAGTGGCGTCTGATTCAGAAAAAAAAAATCGAAACGTTACGCCCCGTATCGACTGAAATATATAAGGCGACGTTCGTGTGCACCGCCATAGTTGTACGCACACCCAGTAATAATAATATTTAACAAGTCGTAACTACAATATTATACAGGACAGTGTTCTTACCTCCATCGAATCCGGGGGACCACGTCAGCATCACTTTGTTGTGCGTGGCGTTCGCCAATCGGAAATTGGACGGTGGGTCGGGGTGCGAGAAGACGGTCAACCGGTTGACTGAAGTCGTCCGGCCGAGATTGTTGGACGCGGTGCACAAGTAATCACCGTAATTGAACTGGTCCACATGCAGTATCGTCAGCGTCGACTCGTAAAACGTTTCGTTCAACTGAAACGCGCAGTAGATACAGTAAATTATTATATTTTAGTTCATATAATACATTAGATTATTATGACTCGTGCGTTTGTTTATAATGCAACGTGACGATCGGAGATTATTGTTATATTATTGTTATTAGTAGTATAGTAGGTACATACTACTAGATACCTATAGTAAAAGTAATCGTAGGTACTATTGTATAACAACCCCGTTTTTTTTTATAATATGATCACCCTCTCCCGAGTGACGCCGCAGCGCTGTCGTAGCTTATAATGCAAGTAGAACACCAAAATAAAATTAGTATATATGATATATTATATTAGGTAAGTAAATTTCACTGTTCATAATATGGTGTGATTTGGTTTTTATTGGAGAAAAAGGATCGCGTAGGTGATACCATAATATAGACAGCGAGGATACTCGTTGATAACTTTTTCGATTTATTCTTATTACTCGTATCAAATAACATAATAATAATATTTTTAATATATTGTAGTTTTCTATGCAAATCTGTATAGGTAAGGTTATATTCATAGAAAGTATTTTAACAATTATTATTTTCTCGGTAAATTCCGTGTTCAAATGCAGAAAATAAGAATCATGTAGGTCAAAGTTAAATCAAAAACACAATAGAAATAAATAGGTAGCTACTAATAGTTTGTATTTATGATACAATTATGATCTTGGGTAATATAAGAATAGATAGGACATTAAGTTTATTAATTGAGAAAAAGGTGATACAATTTTTGAGCAGGTTGTAATGGTTTCTTTATTATTGATAATACACTTCATTGCTAAATACTAAAATAATAATAAATAAATAAGAAATTAGAAAGTAATAGTTTTTATTAGATAATGTTTAATATATCTTAGCTTAAATGTACTATCAATGGTAATAACATTAGAATTAATTATTATAAATGTTGGTAACACAGCCTTAAAAAAAGGTCTCTTATTGTTTATCTCTCTTGTAATAATATATCTATCTCTCTTCCCCAAAAACGATCGCGACTCCTTACGGAGCCAGTACTCGTATAGCCTTGTCTTATCTATTCTTATGGCATATGATTATTACACCTTCAGAAGTTATAGCTATCTATATATATTTAATATGCCAACAAAATATCTATTGGATATGATACAATATATTTAAATATTGTACTGATTTTMCGATTAAATAATACCCAAGTATAAAATGTGTATAATATATATGTTTTTTAAATAATAAAACAATTATATTTACTCGTTTCTGTTCCACAATGTATTTATCAGATATACTTGTTATGTTCATCCCATCACGTTCCCAAGAAAATCTAATCATAGGAGCACCTACTGCTCGACAATGAAGTTTAGCTGACATACCAGCATTGCTAGCCGTTTTTGATTCATTTTCCATTGTCAGTATCTCGGGTTTATCTGCAGAACACATGGTTTTTAAAAAAAATAAAAAATAATTTTAATTGAATATTTTTATGGTTATAATATTTAATTTTAAATCTGTTTTTATATTAATTTGTTACTAAGGACAAACAATACAATTGCATAGATCTATGCGTAATATGGTTTTTTTTAAGTGTATGGTTTATTGAGTTATTGTTATAGAATATTCAAAGTAATTATAAAATTATAATATAGTATCAAGAATTATTTTTAAAATAATTAAAAAACAATACAATAATATGCTTACGTTCCACAATCAACAACACAGAATGCGATGATTCGTTTCCTATACCATTATTAACGACACAATAGAAAAGCCCACTATCAAATTGTGTTACATTTAAAATGGTAAAGTACGAAGTAGTGTTTTTGAGTAATATTGATGTCCGTTCGTCAAAGATAAAATTTGGACGCGTCCAGCTTATATGTTCCGGACCTAATGGAAGCCCATCTATTCGACACCAAAGTTGAGCATCGTGGCCCTCACTTACAATGACTCCACTTGAAGTACTAGTAATAGTTGCTCGATCTAAAAAAAAACACACATAATTCGTTTTACAAAATATTTAGACACTAAAGCATACATATACGAATTATATGTAACGATATTAGTAATGAAAATAAAAGAAAACAATCGTTTTATACTAAAACAGATAAATTATTGTATAGAATAAGATTAAGATTGTTGTGTAATATAATGCTGATATTGATATCATAGTATTATAAAAATGACTATAATATCATCAACACGAAATACAAATAATTAAATCATAATTGATTTTCAGATAAGTTTAAGATTTAGCAGTGCCGTAACTAGCTTTATGTGCGCCCTTGGCAACCAATGTTATAAATTWATAATGAATTTTTAGTATTTAAATGGTATAAAAATTGCGCCCCTAGTGCGATCATTTGAAACTACGCCCTTGGCCATCGCCCACCTTGCCAATGCCTAGATACGGCACTGAGATTTAGATAGCATTAAAACACGATTCACACGGATAAGGCATAGAATCCAATCAAAATAATTTTTTTTTTTCAAATAGGTAATCAGTTAATATTATTTATTTTTAATGTCAAACACATAGAGTTATCATCAAAAATGCTTACGTTTCACTAATATTGTAAACCAAGAGGTTGAAGACCCTTCTGAATTGGTCGCGACACAGCTGTAATTTCCAGCATCGTCGCGGAATGTACCTGTAATATTTATACTGGAATCTTCTACAAGCCGGTTGTATGACGGAGACAACGGTTTGCCGTTTTTGTACCAATTATACATGATCTTTGAAGGCCGCCCTTTTGCCTGCAACTTGACGAATATGTTATCCCCTTCCGTATACGTCATTATACCGAGATGCGAATCAAAAGTTGGTTTGTCTGTAAAATAATCATTTAAATATTTTCATATTCCTAGCTATTCCTTTATATAATAAATATATTTTTAATATCGCTGGGATTTAATCATTTACGAAGTACAATAATATTTCGATAGGGTAACAATAATAATATATACAATATACATGCGTATCGGGTAGGTATGTCGAATATTCTGATGGAAATATAATTGAACGAAATTTACTGCTATTATTATTTTTTTTTCCGTTAGTTTATTTTTTCAACCAATGTCAAATAATAAATAAGATGTGAAAAAAACATTAAATGTATAGCTAGGTAATGGAAAAACTACCAAGAGTAATATTTTTCTTTAGTAAAAATCGACATTTATATCGTCTGATATTTATTTATTAAAATTATTATGCTACTTAAAACAGTAAGTATAACATCAAAAGTATTTAAAAATTCGATTTATTTAAATGCTCAATGCAGATTCAGTAAACATTTAGGTCAAATTTTTATCAGCGAAAAAAAGGTTTTACAATCGTACATCGTCATAGTATACGTAAATTAAAAATAATAAAAAGAGAAAATCGAGCAAATTAAAGTATAGTAAGCTATAACAATATTATTGAAGCCGGTAAATAAATTATAAAAATAGAGAGTGCAAAAAACCTAAGGGGTTTTAAAAATAAATTATAATAGTTAATTGAATAATATACAAATATAAATTTCCGAAAATGCTTAGAAAAAAAAATGTTTTAAATAAGTAGAGAGGAAAACATTTTTAAAAACTCAGGAGATTTGTGCCTATATATGCATGATCGTTACGCGGATTTAAATTTAATAATTGTGCGTATAAAAGGCCCATAATACAACAATTTCGCCTTTGCATTTTGTATGTGAGCTGTATTAATAATAAAAAATATGTATACGAGAGGCCATGCGAAATAGATAATAGTAACCACAATTTAGATTTCGAATGAAAATGATACATTTCACCGTGATCGAGGTCGACGTGAGTCGTTCTCTTAAATCCTGATACAAATAATAATATAGTATATTATTGTAGATAAGTAAATTTGTCCGCTACAGCGAATATATAAAATCCCCTGTAAGTCACGTAGTAATCGGTTGAGGTTTTTTATTTTATTTTCGGTTACTAATAAAACGGTTTGGGCATCCGAATTGGCTCCAATAGACAGGCCACGATTCATGATTGATAAAAGTGACATGGAATTGGTCCCTCGAATAAGTGATGTAAGTAGCACGCTTAGGATTCGGAATAAAAATATATTATTATGTATATGTCTTTAAATCGATTTCTAAAAGAGGGTTCAAGTCTAAAACCAATATAATGTTATACTAACAACTTAAGTGTAGTCGTCTACAATCTATTTACTCGAATTATGAAAATATATTATTTGTAAATGTCATACGTTAAAAGACTTGTAAATCGTAACTAGAATAAAATCGTATGCTGAGATTGAAGCAAAAGAATCAAATATTATTAGTATATTATTACATTATCATGCAGTCTAGACACGATATGTTCACCAACATTAAGAATATTTTTAAAAAAAAACTACTAATAATTAGTATATTAAAATAAAAAAGGCAGTTAGTGTCGTTATCAACAGTAAAGTCGTAGACAATATAGTGTGACACGTTTTTGATCGGATCATATTATTAGTATTATTTTTATCATCGTTCACGATTTGATCACGGATTACTTCGAATAAAACTGGAATAGGTAGTAAATTCGGTGCAGCAGTCTGTGAAGCAAAGTATCAAACATCGTGACATGTAATATTACGGTATCAAGAGAGTGTTTAGACCTTTGTTCACAAGAAAAAAGATTGCAATGTTTAAGTTTAAATATATAATTATATACTTAACCTCAAATTTTAAAATTGCAACGATAAATAAAGCAACCATCGTTTATCAATTAAAATAAAACTCAAGATAGAACTCAATCGGTTGGATAGTAGGGATAGTGTACGTCTTAGTCGTAAAAAATTACACTGTAAATAGAATTTGTTGTGTTTGATATGAATTAAATGACAAGTTATTGCACAAAAACGTTTCTCAGCAGAATCAGTGTGTCAGCCTATATATTTCTAAGAATATCCAACAAATCAATAACCTTTAATATAATATAAATAATAATATATATGTGTATTAATTTATTTTATATTTTTATATAGAAGATATAAATTAGATATTTTTAAATAATATGATAGATCGACAATAATAGCCCATATTTAATTATAAAATACCTATTGTTGTTTTATCGTATACAGGTTTGTTGCCCTTATTTTTTTTTTTTTTTTTTGAAATTAGTTTAAATATCTTGAAATTTTTAGTGATATATAGACAATAATAATATAAGTAATAGCTAAAAATTTTTTGGTTAGATATCTGATTTCAATCAAATGCTAACTGGAAAAACAAAATATCTAGGTATAGGAAAAAAAATTGTGTAACGAAAAGAATGCAGCTAAAATGGGTACTTTCTGTGAAGCTAAAAAATTTGAAATTTGAACAACACTTCCTTACAATAGTCATGTGCTAAGTCCTAAGAATGAATCTAGTATTTGAAATCCATCCCTCTTCATCGATTTTGAAAACCAACAATTTTGTTTCGTATTTTTTTTCTCATAAACCATTACTTAAAATTACATTTAAAAAAATAAACAAATTTCAAGATCAAGACATAAAATCAGTAAAATGTTGTAATGACTCGTAACAAGACAGACCTATATTAATGACCTTATGTTTTTCAAAATAAGTGTAACATTATTGAACTTTTCATTAAATTTTCAAATCTTACTTACATAATTTGAATATTTCATAGTATTTTAAGCACAAAAAAATTATCATATTTTTGTATTTAGACAAATTTTGTCATAATTTGCATTTCAAACACTTCTATATCTTTGATATGTTTAAAATACCTGTAGTAAAAACTTACGAATAAGCTTGTATTACATTTTCAAGTTTTTTAATCAAGCGGAAATTATTTTATCGATATCTATCTATAGAAAAAATGGAGTGTACCTACAAAATGTCTACGAATAGCTTAAAAAAAGGCAAAATATTTTGAAAATTATTATTATACTTGAAATTATAATATAAATATTTAGCGGATATTTCAAGTGACCTATGATTTTTTCATTTTTAAATTATAACATAAGATAACCATTTTATGATGAAAAATTGTTATATTTTACAAATATCAAATTTCATCAAAATTTGAACTTCAGGCACTTATAAATAAATATTTGTAAAATTACGATATACTTTTTTTTTTAAATATCAGTAGTAAAAACATACAAGCAGTAATAAAATTAGAAATTCGATTTTGTGTTGAACACTGGATTTGCGTGGAAATTCCCGTTTATCTCTATTTTATTATTTTTGTTTTTGTTTTCCCATTTATTACGAAAATCAGTGTGAATTTTGAAATTGAGCTCCTAAAACCTTTCCTACCAGGAAACATATTGGAAGTTGAAAATCAAAGCACTTTTTAGTCTATAAGTTGTGTACACATACACAAAAAAATATAAACAAACATTGTAAAATCAATACATAAATCGCTCAGCTCAGAATCAAAAACACCCACATCATCGTAACACTAATACATTTACCACACCGCTAAAATTTTCAGAATACTGTAAGCAAGTTTAACCGAGAAATACATCTCATATACGACAGCCACTCAAAAGTTAGGTAATTATCAGAATCGTATCCTACTTCCAAAGTGGTTTTGGTTTTATTTTTATTATATGCCATTAAAATGTATGAAAACGGAGTCGATATCGGACATAAGCTATCATCTTGAGGTATTTCCTTGGATTTTTTTGGTCACGAAAGTCATACTAGAAATTCGCTATGCTAAACCGGTTTAAGATTATCCTACATTATCCCGCACCGATATCATGAACCATGTAAATGATGATATGGTCTAACAACATCCCAGTGCGTTTTTCACACTGGTTTAGTATAGCTATTTATATATAATTTGCAAAATAAAATGAAAAAAAACATTCAAAAATAGTGTCTTGGATATGTTAATCAAATATTAGATTAATAATGGAATTTGATTTTATCTATATATGTTAATAAATTGGACGTTGTTTTTAATTTGTTATAACTCATGACGTATAATTGTTGTCCAATGCTGCTATTATAGTTATAGAGAGATACTCTGCGTATGGAAGTGTCCTTTAAACTTTAATTGTTAGCGCGATTGAAAAATTATTATTTTTATTTGAATCTTTGGTTTTTTGGTCAAGTCGTTTGGTAGTTTTAATATGAATTATGAAAAATAGCAGTTTTTAGTTCTATCTGTCTGCTGAATATTGTACGTCAAAATTCAAAGTGCAGATTTTACGTTAAATTAAAAAAGAAAATACAAGTTCCACTTTGGGGGAAAAAAAATGAGCGGAACTTATTTTAAGAGGGTATTGCGAGTAAAATGTGTGCAACACCTTCTGCCTAGCACAAGTTGTCGAATATAATAATGTATTTTAGCGAGTCTACACAAAACATATTTGTAGAAGAAAAAATATAATGACGATGTCAAAAACATTGTGGGTTAATGGGGGTACGTAAGAGTCACGTTTATTATAAATTTAAATATTTTTAAAAACAATAATTTTTATTTTAAATATAAAAAAACCCACCCTATCCAAAGACTAAGTACGGATCTTGTTTTTGTTCCTTTCATCATATTATGAACTTAAAATCATCTCTGGATTCAAATCTTACGCTCAATTTGGAAGATTTTACCACAATATTATTATACAGTGATTTAATTATAGTACCAGTTACACCAGTATAGTAACTTACTCTATTTTTTCGTGTGTAGTTACGTCATCGTACAAGCTAACTATTGCCATAATATTACGCATTGTAATATCATTAAAATATTATGAATAACTACTGTTGTACCATTTAACCCCTATAATTTTCTGTATTTTATTTTCCTGCCATGAAATTTACAAATATACCGTATATGTTGCGGTAAAAGTATGTATGCGTAAAAAGTTAAAAGTCAAAATACATTATGCAAACCTATTTATGACAACAATTTTTAAATTAAAACACTAATTCAATCTTCCGGTTAATATTACTATCTTTTTATTTCCATGGTTTAAATACAATTATTATATACAATAAGGCTTACTTTAATACATCGTCACCAAAAATAATGATAAACTATTACTGGGAGAGTAACAGATTACCGTCAAACATATTTTTTATAATTCTTGAATATGAAAATAATAATCACTTATCAATATATTGATTCTGTCTAATTAAAGTCAGAGGTTTTTACATGATGATTATTTTTTAATTTATAGCTTATTATTTATTATTAGTTATAGTGAACATTATATTATAATATTAGTTAAATGTCCCTCCTAACCGTGTTGAACGTCTATACATCGAGTTTATTTAAATATCTAATTCAATTGAAATCTCCTTGAAATAATTACCAATACAGTAAAACTCAAAACCTCAAAGTTGAGTTCTATCTCCCTTCAGTTTTAACATAACGAGAGCTTACTAATAATTAATTATATGTATACTAAAATCCAAACACAAATGATGATGAAAATAGTTCATATATTTTTCAATTCATTATTGAAATACTAAATGATAATATACACAACCCTTCAAACTCATGCATACATGTACTGCTGAATAAAATACATGTTGGTATAATAAGATATTCACTATGGTGTGGGAAAAGTAGTCCAATGGTGAAAACAATTATAATCCATAAAAAATGTCGATACCTCACAAAACTCACACGATGCTACTGTTTAATTATCATACTTTTTTTTAATCACTTACGGTAAACGTCGATCGTTACKTCTTTGTGTATATTCTTGCCCATCACTGGATTGGCGCCTTGGCACATGTACACGCTGCCATCCATTTCGGGTGTCACGTTGAGTGTCAGCTGTATGGTAGACAGCTTTCCGCCGTGTAGCCCGGGCTTGGTGTAGCTGTTTATGCCCTCGGAGACCGGCACTCCCTGGTGCCACCAACTCATCTTTACCGCCGGATTGCTGGAAGTCGCCTCACACGTGAGCGTTGCCTGCACGCCAGGTTTTAAATGTACCGGGTCGTGTTTGATGTTCAGATGATCGGGTAAAACTGCGAAACAATAAATATAATGCTTGATAACATTTGAAATTTAAAACCAATTAACGAATTATTGCGCCCCTAAAGCATTGTCAAATTAAATTTTTTTTTTTTAAGTATAATTTTAACCAAATATACTACTAAATAGAATTTTTAAATTTTTAAATCTCAAAATATGGAATAGTAACTGGCAAAGATAATAATTAATATAAGCTCCTCATATGAAAATCTTAAGTATAAAGTTTCAAATATAATATTTTACAAAATATTAATTCTTTAAATAAATAAAATAATTTATGTATTATTTTATGACGTGTACCTACCTATATTAAATTTATCTTGGCTTAACAATTAATTTTTAAGAAGTATTTGAACAGTGAAGTAAAATAATTAATATTTAAACAAATTTAATAAGTATTTATTTACACATTGCCTAATAAAAAGTAACTGGAAAATTGTTTTTTGAACAGTACTAATAACCAAAGTGTCAGTTGGCGCAAAAAGATTTATTTTTATATTTTTGCGGCTCAAATGTATCAAATTTAATATAATATAGAACAATATTTATTTTGTCAAACGTATTACGTTGCTAAATAATCATACCAGTCCCGTCCAATACTAGAGTAGGTATGTGTATATATAATATAATATACATGTGAGTTAAACACATAATAAATATTCACGTGTTGAGTTAACCTGTAAAACGAGCGCAAGTCTCTACAAGTTAAATTGTATTCAGTATTAATATAAATCGTAATAATAATATTATAAATAACACAACACAAAAATAATATACGTATATAACATATTAATGGACCATCCCACCACTATTTTAAAGAAATTTCTGATACCGCCAATGGTATAGGAATACCGTAGCAGTAGCTTTGGACGAGTTTACCTTAATACTGCTACTATATATACAACCGCGCAATGCATCTGCATGATAACCAATAAAAAGTGAAAACGTACCTAATTAGTCATTGGGTTTTTTTTTTATTGTTTTTTAAACGCCTTTTCGCCCCGTTATCCAAAAACTACTAAACGTAGACGTTTCCGTCACTCTATTATTATTATTATGACGTGCAGCAAAAATAACCATCGCGTGGAGTTAAAACCTACCTACCTACTGATAATTATTATATCATAACGTTTCGTAATTTTTACAACGACGACGACGATGATGATGATAATAATAGTAATATTATTATTACCATACAGCTATGTAGTGATTGTATAGTTCAGAGTTGTTCGACTGAATAATATTATTATTATTATTTTAATATCGACGAAGATTTCGACAAGTTGGTAAGGTGTGCGAGTGGGCGCCACCGCTATGAAAATCAGTGACTGTAAGCAGATATACCCCCACGTGCTGGTTTGAGCAGAGGTACAAAATATGTATATTTATATATAAGTAGCCGGTAGTGGGCGCTTTCCGYTTTCGTGCCATAATAATATTACGTTCTCGATAAACTATTCAATATATTATTATTATTATGTAGTTTCGTGTGATTGGAAGAGTGCAACTCCAATTCTATATAATATAGACCAAACAGTAGGCGCACTCGACCCGCGACTTGTGTATATTTGTGTTTGTAAGAGTTTATTTGTTTATGTGTGTGTGTGTACACTCCGTAGTAGGTACCTACACCTAAACAGTGTTGTGTTCTCATTCGAAAGCCACACACCGGACGCGACTCCTCGAGATTGGGTGTGCGCGCACTTAGGTAATCGTCTGGATGACATATTATATTAAAATAATTATGTAAAGACGCCGTTCGCCGCAAAACGGGATATGAGTCCTACAGCTACAGCTACTGCCTATACAACCATAAGGACAAACTGCAAGAAGTCCACTCGTAGATCGAATCGGTCGGTGCAATTTGTTTTCCCCGCGTGTACCTATACACAGTAGGCATAATAGTGCGATGACTATAATAATAATAATAATACGATATTACTATTATTATTATATTATAACCGAACGTTTTTTTGCTTTTGTTATTTAAATTTAATTTCGCAAGTGGGCGGTCCCGTGACCGTCGAGTTTTACATTCAAAGCGGGGCGAATAAGCTATATAGGTCCAACCTACCTACGTATTAGTGAACGAGTATTTTTCTCAACAAACGTGCGTTCGGGGACAATATTGTAAAAGCGATTTCTATTTAATCTTTTTCTTCTAAGTCCGATTTTCCGACGGTATTGCGAAAAACTGCAACGGACGCTGAAACGTTCGGTATCTTATTAACGTCGTCAGTGCGTGTTAAAAATTGTAATTATAATTACTTATTGTTAGTAGAACGTTGCGGTTAACTATGCGCGATGTGCATAAACTTTCAATTATTTTATGCTAAATATTCGGAAAACATAAATAATTACACACGAGAAACATTATCGTGATTCAATATTTACCATACTCTAAAGGTTTAACTTATTTGTGTTATGTGTTTCGCGTTGTGATCTAACTTAATGCACTTTTCCGCCAATCCAACCTTAACGACGAATGAGTTAAGGTTTTTTATTCTATCAGCGTTCGTATATACATATATATCATATATACCTTTAAGTTTGTTTTGGCAACCAGCAATCATATTTTACAATACAATATTATTATTATCTTAGTAAATTTACTGCTCTTACATAAAACTTTGAGTTTCTGCATTTTCATCAAAGGAACCGTTAAAGCCGGATGAGTCACTTCACATTTGTAAGTAGCGTCATTATCCGTATAATTGACCACGAATGCCAGTTCAGCTGAAACCGTATTTTCTCCAGTTGTTACAATTGAATGTACCTAAAGAATTAAACACGATCAAATTTAATATTTTGTCAGCGTATAATAAACCTTCTCTATAATTTCAAAAATAAACAATATTATACATATATTTTATGATTTTGCCTACAAATAATACATTATTATCAAATCTTTTTTTTTTATTAGATAAAATAAAATATTTACAATCCAACGCCACGGTCGCGGCGCAGAGCTAAGTCTGTAACATTACATACAATAAGTAAATTTGATAAATAATAAATAACATAACGTGAGTGACGTGAGGAGGGAAGCCCACCAGTGTGGATACCCTCTAACTTGGGGGAATCATCAAATCTAACAATTTTTTTTACGTTTTCATACCCAATTAGGAAAATATTTTTTTTATAATTAGAAATAATTATAATACATCATATTAAAGTAAACACCATTGTATGGTTAATTTTCTATATTTTATAAAATCAATATCCAATATTTTTAATTGTTCCGGTATAATAGTTGTAGTTAGATTTTATTTGGTTTATAGATTTGATATTATATTCTATTATATATTTATCTCTGATTGAACAAGTTTAATGCTGTTCATTCAATTTATAACATTAATTAGTATTCAATAATGTTATAAATTATAATGCGTCAAACTTTTAATATTAACCATATAAATATTTAAGCCGTTTACCATATTTGTAGGTAGGTAATAGTTATCTATTGTCACGATCAGATCAAAAATATATTTTTATTCTTTTGGGTTCCAATTTGATCTCATATTTTTTATTTTCATCCAATGGTATTCTTTTTCTCAACATAAATACAATAAAGCATCATTGTCTTTTATTTGATATTATTATGATAATATTATAATACAATAATATGTTTTGATGTTCTTATACAAAATGCTTAATAATCGTCTGTCGTTCCGATGAAGTACTATATGAAGTAATAATTTATTAAATTAATTGATGAAATAGATTTTTTTTCCTACCTACTCAGTTGTATTTATGTTATTATATCTTCTACCACATATTTTTTCTTCTAAATCAGTTACAATGGTATTTTATTATTAGTGGTATGAATACAATTTCACAGTTATAGGTGCTTTGATTGTCAGACTATAATATTATAATATATACACAGGGACACTCACACAAAATATTGTATGAATAATACTTGAATGATATATGTTACAAATTACAATTCAAAAATTATTAACGGTTATGACAGTAACTAATTTAAATTAATTTTATATCACACTGTACCTTTTTATCGTTTTTAAACCATGCGACCGTACCCAGTGGATTGCCGCCAGTAGACAGACAAGATATTTTGTGTACATTTCCCGATGGAATTGGATTACCGGACGAGTGGTCGATTATGATCGGCGCTCCAGGCGGGACTAAAACGTTGAAAAAAAAATAGAACAGTTTATTATTATAATTTTAAATATTTAATAAGTATTAAATTTCCGTTGAAATTACGGACTCCCGTTAATATAAGAGTCTCTGCGGGATTTATTGTTTATTTGGTGAAAACATTCGTGTATGTTTTTTTCTCTAAAATCTTCGACATATTTAATTGTATTGAATCGATCTTTCAATGAAACATAATAATGTATAGGTGCAATGCAGGTTTAAAATTATAAAAAAAATCACTTCGTAGAAGTATCAAAGATGACTCGTTACATTTTGTTTGTCATTAAAACATTCAGAAATATGATAGGATTCTTGAAAAATAAAAAATAAATTATATTCTAAGAAGTTTTGCTACCTAAAATAATCTTTTTCGATTGTATCTGCAGTAAGTAATAACTATGGATTTCCCGATGCGTTTGAGATTATTTACTCGACTCTGGTACTAATAAATTACGGTATAAGTATTCCGCAATGAACGTCACCTGGATATACGATATTTTTATACTGATTTTTGACGCATGAAATTAATAGGTCAACGGATATTTAATATCTAGGAGTATTGCTCTAGAGCCATTTGAGCGTGTAATTCAATATACGTGTGACTTCACTACACAATCTTTGATTATGACATATTTGTACATACATATCCGTTTGTTTTAACATTTACTCCACATCTGGGCGCGCTATTATACGTCGATTACTCGTATTATTAACAATTAATGTGTTTTCGTTTCGTTTTCACTAACACATGCCAAAACATAATTTTATGATAATATTAAAGCGTGTCAACCACCGGTTCACAATAATGACTCCGCGGCAATATGAGATACTTAAACGAGTCATATTTCTGAACACTGCTGTACAATATAACACAAAAAAATGCGACATAAAACTGTACTCACGTAGTATGCTGATCTTATGTGTGTCGATAACTTTATCGAACACTCTGTTACTGATCGACTGGCACGTAGCCACAACGAAACGGTGTCCGGTCGGTATGACGAACGATACGTTGGATTTTGTTATCCAGCTGGACTGCGGGGCGGGCACATTAACGGACGTGCTGTTCTCTTCTAATTCACCGGCCACCGTCCATTTGATTATAGACGCTGGATTGCTGCGCCCAGTTTCGCAGCTTAGGGTTATCAAGTCTCCTTGTTTCGCTTCATCTGGTCCCTTGATACGGACGTGAGACGGGCCGACTGCTCGTACGCAATGTTAAAATTTAAGTTATGAATTAGACAGGTGCTAGGTCACGTTAAAATTCTTATATCAATTTAATTAATCGATTGATTACTATTATCATAATACTTTCTAATAGCTTGTTTGCCCAATATCAGACACCCGTTTTTTTGCAGAACTTCAATTTATCAACATATCCGTTATTTCTAATCTAATTTCTCATTCAATCGGATATTATTAGGTTTTTACCCAAATCAAAAAACCATTCTACCGGGTATTATTTCTTAGCACAATTAGTTTTATTAATTTATCGACAAATAAATTTAGTTTTTGAGCTATGACATGATAATTCAAACTTGTTTATACAGATATAAATAAATAAATAAATATATATATATATATATATATATATATATACATACATATAAGAAATTAGGATATAGATCATACGAGAATATAATGAAAAATTCAAATTTTTTTATCATAATATTACTAGAGGTCAATAGTTTTTTATAATAGTATACCACTCATTGGAAAAACTATCACCAGTTCATGCGCGMGAATCCAGTGAGTTGAAGACTTTTACTCACACTAGCATGAGTTTTAAAATTGAAATGATAGCACATCTCTGATACAATGGAATCATCCTTTCTCATGATAATTTACATTAAAATCGCAAAATAACTTGTAATAATAATAGCGTATTGAATTTCTAAGGCCAACGTGAATTACTTTAGGTGGACATTCTCGGTGTATCTAACAATGTACTGATTTCAGGTGACGAACAAGAATTAACGGTTTTACGATTTCTTACTGCAGTTCGAAACTTAAAATCAGTATACTTACATTAATATTTAATACCTTAGATAGAATCTATCTAAAATTTATATCTGGTATTTCAAAATAAGAAATCATATTTTTTCTAAGAATAACGTTATGTATGAATTTATTATTTCCATTGAGTTTGTAATCAAGCAATTTTCAGAATAATAAAACCAAGGAGATGCTAAGCTGAAAAACGAATATCTCACTAATTAATAATTAGACTATACGATGATACGCATTTCAATATAATAAAAATCAAAAATCAAATATTAAATTGTACATTTTAATAACGTAAATAGTAATATTTATTCAACTGTAGAAAACAAATTTATTAAAATAATAACGTTTTATCCTTCAATAATATACTTTAATTTGTGCAATATAAACGTATTTTATTCCATCAATAAAAATGTTTTTATTAAAAACAAAATTGTATTAGGTAGAAAAAATAATAATATGTTAACTGCTTTTAATAATTGTATACTAAAAGATAAATGAATCTAAATTAACGGGAAAATAATACGATGCTGTAACACGTTGTACATAATCACTACCGGAATTTTACATCATGCTTAAAAAACATAAAAATATGCTTTGAAAAAAAAAATAGTCTCTTTTACAATATGTATTAGAATATCCGCTCAAAGCATTATTAGCTACCTATGCAGTTCTCGTTTATAATTTACAATTTATATCGAGTTAACTTAATATTTTAATTATTTCTTTTGTAAACGCGTGGGCAATAAGAAAACAGAAATCAAGTTCACAATATTGTTACATTACTGCAGCTTGTTGCAACATTCCATAGTGCAACGACTAGCGAGACAAAGTAAACGTTATTTACATTTACTTCATACATTTTAATCTGTACACCGCAGTCATCTTTAAATTTATTTTTGGGTGTGTAATATATTTAGGACACGTCATATCGAAGGTATATTGACGAACATCGTAAATCAATGTAGGTTATATATTATATAGGTGTTATCTAGGCTATAAGAAGTCTTAATTTTATTATCGTACTTATTAATTTAAAAACGTACTGGAATGGGTTAAAAATCTTTTGAAATGTACTATCAAAATGCATGCGTTTTAAAGTTGATATTAAAATTGTGACGATTTTGTGTATAATGTATGAGAGTTTTTCAAAAGTAGGATCATATTACACTATAAATTTCTAAGATAAGCTATTAGATTATAATACGAAACTTCATCAAGAAACAATTAAAAATTTGAATTACTTTAAAAATATATCAAGAATAACAAAATACTTCAACTTTCTCCCTAAAGATTTATCTTTTTTTTTTTTCTATAGATTGATTTGTGCTTGCTTGGATTTACATTTCAACATCCCTATACCATAACAATTGGTTGAAAATATCCTGGGATCACTAGTTTTTGGAAATGCCGATAACAGAAATAATATTATTAACTATTAACACACTTAAGTTGAAAGAGATCCACGGATTTCCACCTTCCCCCTTTTCCAATACACATAAATAATAAATCCACTTCGTGATGCACAACAATGAAATCATTCACGTAATTCTAGGCAAAATAAACATCATGTATAACTTACGGTGTATATATGCATTGAGCTCAACCAACGTATATTTTAATTACAGTGGAAATGAAAAAAAAATAACACTTACATGACACTGAGAGTACAACGTCAGCATATTGAGGAAGTGGGCTAATTGAGTTTTTTGCTTCACAGCGAAATCTTGCGTTGTTGTCCGAGACATTGGCTATGAATGAGTACGTGCTCTCCGACACTTTTTCCGTTGTGCTAAAATTTGTGTTAGACATGATTATTATTCAAGAATACTATACACATACATCAAAATATAACATATACACTGTTAATAGGAACACTTTTGTCATATAACTACTACAATATTATTTTCAAGATTGAATGATTGGACATCATCAATATGCGTCTTAATTATATATAAATATAAATATTTATTTAATATAATTTCCACAGTGCATAYAAAATATAACTGAAATAAGTATTATATTTATGCGAAAATAAGCACATTTAATAAATTTAAATGAACTCTGCTTTGTATTAAACTGTGCGATGGAGGTGGGTATGAGTGCCTAATAACTAATAAGCAATAAGTAACGCACGTTAAAGGTACGACATAAAATTTTTATCGTAGCCCGTAGGTATATGATATTTTGAATATAATAAATTAAACTATTAAATAAATACAATTTCGAAATAATAACGAATTAAAAATATGTGTAAACAATATACCTGTAATCATTATGAATTAATTGGTCGTTTTTGAACCACACAAGTTGTGTTGGTGGATTTCCATTTTTCGATACACAACGTAGTGACACATGATCTCCTTTTTCCAAAATATCACCCTCTGTGTATCCTTCGATGTGAGGAGCTCCCGGTGGATCTAAGTAAATTAAATTTCATGTATTCTACGTTTTAATATTAGGCTATAAAAATATATTATCAATGCATTAAAAAAATTAATATTTATATATCTAATACCTGGATATACTTATAGTTAGTTTTAGAGATATAAAATGTTACAATATATTATTATTAATATATGAAAAACAAATTTAAAAAAAACATTTAAACGATCAAATAATATTTAACGGGTTATTTTTAAACTGCAATCTATTGTTCAGTTGAACTGCAACCCATTATTGAATTCAACTGTTGCTGCAGTAACTTATATTTTAAGAACGCAAAAAGTTGTTCAAGTAAATAAGTTATAACGACGTTATTGTTATATATCTTGCTTGCTATATTTGTTAAATGTAAATAGATTATAGTTGGGCGGTGGCAGGACCTTTATTGACTGCGTTCTTTATTACTATTATTACGTTTAGTATTTGTGTACAAAAAGTTTATTTGCGATGAATTTACATTCAACATAATGAATTTTAATTTTTTCTATTAATGCTTGTATAATCTACCTTTTAGTTTTGTTGCCTTTTCATAGAGTTTTTCTATATATGTGCTACATATTTTCCTTGGAAAAATTTAGAAAGATTATTTTTAGATTAATGAATTGTATTCCATAATTCACATAACGTTACAATAATACGTTATTGTGTATGTATAGGCAAAAAAAAAACATCCCTTGCTTGCAAGTTCTTATAGTTTCGTATTTTATAATTTCATAATGAATGTGAATTTAAACACATGATACCTAGTACATAAAATGTCTTTATTTTTCAAATTAAAAATAGCACATTTTGAAAAAGTTTTATACTCTCGTTTTATATTTAATGCATTTTGTTAACAGCGTATTTTAGTTACTTATATGTTTTTAGTGATTATCCATGAAGTATATTTGACTGTTTTTATTTAGGTAAAACAGAGTGTACGGTTTTTTCAATTTTAATACACTTAAAACACTTAATAGTTAATAAACATAATAAAATGTATTTAAAATGTATTCAAATACAACTGGTGTATTGATAGGTATAGGTATGTATTTATTTCAAGGAATGTCAAGCATAAACATTAAACAACTAATGAGAAAGGTTTTGTTGATTAATGTAACAAAAAAAAAAAACATATGCACACTAACTACTTTTTAATCGCTAAACAAAAATTCAAAATTCAAAAATGAAAAATGTCACACGATAATAAATAATTGTAAACTATTAAACTCTACGCAATTACAGTAATGGTATATTGTACTTGTTCATATCATATTAAATACAAATAATGATAATATATATTCTAATATTTATATTTTAAATGAAAAATATTATTTATTTAAATATAAACATTTATTATATTATTGAACTAAATAAATTGTTGTGTATACGGAATCGATACTATATGAAATAATAAAATAACAACTGATAATTTTACATAAGTCTATTTGCCTAGTCTGTAAATGGAAAACATGAAATTAAATTTAGAAAAAATTAGGAAGCTAATGGATAAACAATTATGGTTATTATTCTGKCAACACATCAAAAAACAACTTGAAACTAACGTATACAGTACGACTGTTACATATTAAAACTGTGTTTTTTTAATTCAATTTTTCTGTTGGCGATATAAATGTAATTATTTATTTTATGATGTTTGAGTCCGATGTTGATTCAAATATAATGATAATAATTATTTTTCATCGTTAGAATCTAATCGCAGAATCTTTCCTATTAACTCAGACAGAATAAATTAATATTATGCTACTTGTTTCATACTATGATTAGGGTAGGTATTGTAATAGTAACTCGATGAAGGCTTGACAAAACATATATAATTTCCTGCTACAGATTGAGTCTGAATTCCAAAACCAATAGTCTCGCGAAACGAAGCGCTTCCAATGATACATTTTAATTTTAAATAAAATGTATAAATGTACGAAAGTGGCATGCAGACGATGGATTACACAATGTTGTGGAATATGAATAATTGTGTAGGTACCTACTGCTGGGTAATATTTATATTATTGAAAGGTATGGGAGTTGCATGGCTACGCATTGTTAACATTTATGATACGGTGATAATCTTTCAATATTGTTTGCCAACTTTATGTTGGAAAATATGATACTTTTTAGAAACATATTAAACCGATGATAATTGTATTTAAAATAATAAAGTTATGGAAACTCACGTAAAACTCTTATCTGAACAGTGGTTGAAAGCGGATTCGATAGAGCTTTGTGATGAGCTTCACATTTGTATTTCACACGGTCGTCGTTCGACTTAGCGGTTACTTTTATTCGGCTTCGAACGGTGTACAGTTTTGATTTCGTTTCATCCGTGGTTTCTTCACTTTCGTTATCGGACCGTTGTTCTGAAAAATAATAATAATAAAAAAAAATGATTGTGCTTATTAAGTGTACGTTTGAATATAAACATGTAACATTATTAATGATTCGTTGTCGTTATTATCGTCACATTATTATTATTGATTTGTATTAAGCATTGACATTGAATATGATTCATGTCCGTCCAAAGTAGCTATAGGTACATAATAATAATATTATTGTAGGTACTCACCGGGATCGATTTCTTCATCGTCGCGAAACCATACTATTCTCGAAGGTGGTTTAGAGTTTCGAGCTATACACTCAATAGAAACTTCATGGTTTTCTTGTACTTCCAATTTCGAGCCTCCGGATGTATTTATAATTTCTACGGACGAGGGTGGCGCTGTTCAAACAATGTGTTCATATGTTAGACATTAACATTGAAGTAAAATTTAAGTCGATTATTTCAACCTTATGTTTGTAATCAAAAATGGGTAGAAAAACAGAAAGGACAATATTTTACACTCAGCAATCCCCCTACTTAATTAATTGTGTGGATAAATAATAATGATAAACAATAATGGTGAGCTTATTATACAATTGACTAAATGTTTTTTGACAGTAAAAACATGTTTAACATATTTATTTATTACAACAAGCTGGGTTCGTCATTTATGATTTATAATAATTCATATGTTAGCCTAAACTTATTTTTTATGGTGTACAAACATCTGGCCTTATCCCCTCTGGGGTTTTAAACATAAAATGACACAATTAGACCAAAGGATAACAAACTAAAATACTTTTTCTCTCTAATAAAATTATATTATTTGTTTAAAAAAAATAATATTTCTATTTAGTGAAAATGATAAATACGAATAATTATTATAATTTATTGACGTATTTTTTATGAGTTAGATTTTGAAGTGTAATTATCAAAACATTATACTGCGCATCATAGTGTGAATAAATAAAACATATTATAACTTAACAGTATTTTTCTTAGGTTTCAATAAACAAATTAAACAGTAAACGGTAGGTAGTATTATATTATTAATTTGAACACGCCATTTGATTATATAAAAAAAAAAAATATGTAAACGAATACCGGAATTAATACTTGGACGTTAAACATTTTTGGGTCTTACGAAGGGTTTCGTTGTTTCAATTAAAACTTCTAAGGGTTTTGTAAATTATATATGCGTAGTTACTCATTTTTTGTTTGAGTAAAATTTTTAAAAATAACTAGTCACTAACAAAATGCSAAATTATAATGATAAAATAAAACTTAAAAATATAAAAATTTAAAATAACAGGTATATATCAACATTTAATTTTGATGAAAATTACAAAAAAAAATACAATAATTATTCAAATTATTGTTTACTGAATCTAAAGGTTTTGATAGTATTTAGTAGGAAATAAATTATTATTATTATTATTTTTTTTTTTTTAAATTAAATATAACATATTTATAAGAATAATTAAATACTATTCCAAATATATTCATGATTAAATAGGTAATACACTTATAAGCTTATATAATATTTTGAATAATGGGCGTCTTATACAAACCAATTAAATGTAATATATGCGAAGTTCTTTTTTTTTTTTAACTTTTTGACTAGGTTAGAATGATATTATGAAAAAAAAAAAAATTATAGGTTTAAAAAATGCCCCTATGTCTTTAGAAATTAGAAACCAATTGGGTAGTATTACGTTAAAAGAAACTAAGTGATTTTTTAAACATATTGGTTCCATATGTGTACTCTCGATTTATTTTAACATTTTTAAATCTGTAATTTAAAATTAAGAGTAAATTGGTATGTATTTATTTAATGGTTAATGTACGACGATAAAAAATAATTTAAGTAGAAACGGATAAATAGAGTTAAAAAATAATAATAATTGAACTTATTACCTACTTGCTAATTAATTAAAAATTGCATTATACCTACGTGGGAAAACACGGAAAATATATTTATATAATCTTCATAATATTAAAGTTAATTAATATTTTTATTACTTCTACTTTTTCATGAAAAAAAATAAATTGCGGTTATTTTACGATTGCGTTTCATTTGGAATACTTATTTGTTAATTATATGTATATTATGTTATGTGTATTTTTCAATTTACTGAAGTTTGTGGCATTAATACCGTACACAAATATATTTCATGATCTTTGAACTGATAAAACATGCAGAGTAAGTAATAATACACGCTATAACGATGTAATATAACTTTTAAATCATCACATATGATGTGTGGGTGTGAAATATTTAAAAAGTACATAATTTCCTCGAATTCAAGTATCTGGAAAATAGCTTTGTTACGCCGTTGTGAGCGACTGGATAAAAATCGGGTTATTAGTAATGCATGGTATAAAAAGAAGGTGTACTCATTATAGCTTAAAAAAACAAATCGACTCGTTAAACAGCCCACACAATAATATGTGTATAACACTGCAATAGGCACTGAACAATTACAGCACCAACGTGTGTAGTCGTAGTGTGTACCTAATACTGTATACTTTTTTTCTCGAAAATCTCGAAAAGTTAATTTAGTGCGTTTTAATCGTACGCCTACCTCCGTCAGTAATCAATCAATTGAAACGTAATTTAGGCGTCATAGTCATTCATTATTATTATTATTATAGAAATAATATATATAAGCACTATTGGTCAGCAAAAATAAATTAGTTTTTACAAAAGATAAAAAAAAAATTAAAACGCGATGTGAACTCTATACAATAATTATTCACTAGTGACATACTTCTTGAAAATAATTAAACAAAATAAGTAAGTATACAAATATGTCATCAGATCAACAACTTTTTTTATCAGAAAAGAAAGACGCCGTAAGTATCACAAGTCACCGGAATTATTATAATATTATATTGGAGCTAATAAGTGTATTTTCTCCTGTAAGCGTATATATATCTTAATAAAAAATCATTGTGGTTCGTAGAAAAAAAAACATAAATATCATAGGCCATCGGTTATGTTAATTTAGACGATCCTAAACAACTCTATTTATGTAAATACTGGTTAATGTTGGGTCTTAATGTTTGTGCGTTTGAGTGCTGGAAAAATAATATTATAATGATTATGATCGAAATCTGTGATTGTGTTCAGTGGTTTTTTCAAAGCTACGGACTTAATTAATTTTATTCCGTCGCTACTGTTACCACATATTTAAATTTTATCGATTTTTGTATATACAAAATGACGAACACAATAATTATGTATACGAGGCTTGTGACGATAAACTAAACTGATGTATGCGTATATACCGTATATAAATATAAATTATATATTATGAACTGTTCTTTATATATTTTATATATATTTATAAAATTATGTATTTAAAATATATATCAAGTATACGTGTTTAGAGTGTTTATGATTTGACGGTGTACAGTCAATAACGCGATTAAAAATTTACATTGAACGGATTCAATTCAGCAGGAGTCCCCGGTAAAAGTTACATTAAAATTGTCATTGGTAACGATACGTAGATCATGTATTACAAAACTTAAAATGCCAGTTATGACGCAACGATATACTCACTCAGGACGGACAACGTAGCCGATGATCTAATTGGTTTGCTCCCCGCCGCCGGCCCGGGGCTCACTTGACACTGGTACAGAGCATCATCCGTTATTGTCACATTTCTGACAAGTAAATTGTACACCCCATTTCCGGAATCGATCATCATAGAGTGCCTCGGATGTCCCGGTATTTCGGCTGCATAACCTGTAATTGAGACATATTATTATTATTACTATTATCATTATCATTATTATTATTATTATTATTATTATTATTATTATTATTGTTATTATTATTGTTATTATTATAAGCGTTTTTATCAATGTGGTGATTTTTTCGTGCACATTTTTTCCCATCTATACACAGTAAATTTCTGGACGTCACTGCCCTTTAGCGACCGGTCAGACAATTCACCGCGATTAAAAAAGGTCAACATTCTGTCCGAAATAATAACATTTGCATAATACGATTAACCTACCCAGAGCTAAACCATCTTTAGTCCACTGGACATCACCAGTGATGTCGTCGATTTCGCAGACCAACGTCACATTCGAACCTTCTCGAGCGTTGACGTTTTTCGGCTCCACCCGGAACTTTTGTTGTTTGAACGTTGTCACTATAAAAACAAAAAAGTGTAATTATTATATTATTACGTTATTATCAAAGTCACAATATTAAGTTTTAATCACTATATTTTTATAAATCGTTACGATGAGATAATAATGAAATATGTGTGGTACAATGAAATCGACAATTCGAACAACAACAGCGGATATTATAAAAAAAAAAAAAAAATTATAACATTATAACCTCGTACAATGGATTGGATTATATTTCTAGTGCACTAGTATTATAATAGTGTCCACTGTAGTCTTAAATTTAACACAATAGTATACGTTTAAAAAAACAAAACGAGCATATTATTAACGGTTTTTGTTTAAATCCCGATGGGGATAATATTGTATTATTACTATACTTGGCAGGAAACGATGATACCTAATAGCCAACGAAATCCTGTTAACGTGGATAAAAGTGATAAATAAACGAACTTAAATAATTCCGTTACACGTGTATCAGACAAGAGCAATTGTTCGTTCAAATGTAAAATCCGTGTACCATAAATACAATCTTCATACTTTATAAATAATATATTATCGTATGTGTGGCATTCACCACATTCACATTATTTTTAATGAACCAAAATTGTGCACCATAATATTATATAAAAAATATCCAAAAATAAAATGTAATTATACGTATTTCTACAAAAAAAATATGAGTAAATACTTTTAAGATGCTGTATATTGAGAAAAGTCTAGTTTAGGACATTTTGTTGGATAGTTGTTTGTGATATCAGGCGTAATTAAAATTATTAATTGTATTTTTGAGATCATTATGTCAACTTCTCTTTAATTTCCAATATCGACATAGCATATAGGTATTTTGCATTATACCTGAAACCTAAATATATATGTTTAGCTTAATTTAACCGTTAATACCTACTTTGATATTATACAAACATCGTTTTAAATATAAAGTTAGCATAACATTACATACGTTTATATTAAACTACGAAATCTGTTGTAGGCACCTGTAGTATGCTAGCACAAATTCGGTAGTTATTGACAAGACTTTATACCATCAAAGAACATAATAATATCTAAACACACTTTGTGAATATTTTTATATTACTAGGTACTTAATATTATTTAAAAAATTAAAGTATTTTATGCCAAAATGAAAATACAGAAAGCAAATAATCCCGGTAATTGAGGCGAATTTGCTAAATAAAAAATAAAACATTTTTTTATAATGTTTAATTATTCGAGTCGGTAATGTCTCATTCGATAATAATAATTATAATAGTTATGTATTTGAGGTAAAAGTTTTTACATTTTAATTTATTGTTATAATTTTAAAATACAATTATAATAATAAAATAATATAATACATTATAAGCACATAATTTTGTTTAGTCGGATTATAAGTAGGTAATTATGATTAAAAACGAATTAGTGCAGATTAAGTATATTTAATTATATTTTTATTTCTTTTATATCCCTAAATCACAACTAGTCTAGGCGTAAATGTTAATTAACAAAAAAAAAAAAACAACTGACATTTAGTTTATTTTCACACGCCTAAAACATGGTGCATTTTGGTACCTACTACATAAGAAAAACCTGCTTTACCATTGATACGTTATGTAAGAACCTGATTATTCACATCAATTTAATAATAATAATGATAATATAATATATAGGTGAATGACATTATAAAAACTATAATTTATTGATTGACAAAAGTGTTATAATTTTATTTAAATCAAAACTTTGCGCACAAACGTAGGTATCTGTATGTCTTTAAACAATATTTATGCGATATGTTTGTATTTTTATTACCACTGGTGAACGTGTTTTAATAATAAAAAAATAAAAATATGGATAATGTTGCCATTCCGATATTGTGGTTTCATGTTATAGCCACATTGCAGTTATGGTGTCTTATCGATGGTTTAAATCTAACGTGATGATTAGCGCATGGTCCATCTGTTTTGTTTCGGTTTAGCCTACGCATATAAATGATCGATAAATAATTACTGTCTCGTGTGTATCATTTTATTTTGCATTTAATAATCGACTTGAATGAATATAGTAACTGACGATATTGTATGTATAAATATAAAAATCAAGAGTGATCGTTATTCTTTCTATATTTTTTTCAAATATTGTAATTTATTATTGAAGTGTAAAGATTAAACAATTAAAAACCGCATAATTTATTCACTTTACGGTGGCGTAGACGGGATTATTGGGGCTGTAATGTTTATTTTAAGAATGGGTGGGTATATTCTACTCCTGTAGAATTAAAAGTAAAAATATTATTTTCAAAACAAATCGTGAGAAACTTGATAATTGTGTATTATTTTGAAGGCGAAAACAATAATTGTATCCGGTTTTAATGGAAAATCTAGATTTAAAAATTAAGAGTATAACTTTTCAAAAAAAAAAATAATAATAAATAAATTTTATACGACTATAATATAAATTATGCGTGCTGTGTGCGGATGTTGCATACGAATTATATTTAAATAGCTTGAGATATTTTATTCAGTAGTGTAATGATGATAACGATTTGCCGTTTTCGTAATTAATAAATTAAAATACAAGTCTCGATCAAAATTACATAGTAAACAGGTAATCGTTAGATAAGTTGCCTTGCTTACTTTTTTAAACATCCTCAATACATACTAAATATTCATAGATATTATATCATATTAAATGTAAATGTCTAATAAAATAAAAATTTAATCAATTTAATCGCAATGAAACTTTAAGTTCTTTTTTAAATAGCATGTTAAAATTGGATACTAATTTTGGTAGGTTACAAGTAATTTTTTTATAATTACATATTAAAAGTTTAAAACAATGTTTGTTAAATTTAACTCATATCGTGACGAGGTGTCAGAAACTAAAACGTTAATAAAATAATAATAAACTGTTGATTCGATATTCGATATTAAGTTTCCAGAATACAAAAATATGCTGTACCTACTCGTAAATCGTGTAATTACTACTAATTTAGTACAAAAATTACATAATTCTAAAATATATATAAATATTTTATACCTTTATTATTTATTATTAATTTACAATTTTATATTGTATATAGCATGTAAAACTAACATAACCTTGTAAAAATAAAACAATATATATAAAATATTTTCTTTTGAATAACGAAAATTATTTTAATATAAAAAGTATTAAAAATTATAAATTGCATTGTATAATATATTATATTATTACGTGATACCACGTGAGAAAAGTAATGCTTTAAGGCTCGAGTTATGCATTAAAAAATTAAAAAAACGTGACATTTTTCCAATTAAATATTGATTTACACTAATATTTTTGTTGAAAACAATTGTAATAATTATAAAACTATTTGTATTGTATTTATTGTCAGCATTTGGTATTTGCAATTGGTTATAAAAGCATGTCAATATCATCAATACTGCTTTATTATTCATTCATTAAATTATATTATAAAATATATATATAATTAATAATACAAAGTTAATGCTTGGAATTTATAATTATTTTGTTTTATGGTAGAAGTAGTTAATAACTTTTCAAACAAATGTAATATGATGCATTATATATATTATTATGATATAATATATTTTGTCTTTTACACGTCAACAAAATAATTCCCTATTATATCTACTTCCCATATTTAATTGCATCAATCAAAATGTAAATTACTAATAGGTAGGTACATTGTATAAGTATATTTAATTACATCGTATTTGATAAATATATTTAATCTGCATTGTGTAAACATTTATGCAAAAAAATTCTCATGCAATTATTATATTTATATAAACAATACGTTCTAAGCGCACTATTTTTATGTCATCGTTGTATACAGTTAAGGCATTGATTGCAATACATAATATAATTTTCTAATTTTTGAAATTAATATAAGTTTAAACACATCTTATGAGTTTGTAAGAATATTACATAAATGAAAGTACCCGTACAAACACATAATATATTTTTGTTTGTCAGTATACCTACTTACTACCTACACATTTCAAGAAGTGTAAAAGGATTTAAGTACGATATATAATATTATAATGATTTTTCGCTTTATAACATTTATCGACTCTCACTATTCTCAAAGTGAAAATATAAACTGATCTCATACGTACACAAAATGCGTATTTTTAAATATTAAAATAAAGACCGGTCTATTAATTACTAAAACAGCTCAAAAGAGGCATCATAAATGTACATATGTTAAGCAGCTGGAACCGTCTCTAACCGAGAGCGTACCTCGTCAAGATGTGTGCGATACGAAACCACACGGCATTATTATTATTATCAAGTGTCTACGTGGGAGAGGGGTGTTTAAAAAAACAACACAATATTTTGTTGACGTTTAACGGAGTTAAAATTATGCGAAAATCGTACGGCCCAAATGTACTATTTTTATATATGCATATAGTAATGTGTATACAGCTAATAATACATCGGACCAATTTGGAGTGAGTTTTAAGTAGGGGAGGTCGTGTTTTTTTCACTCTTCGTCTGAGATTGAATGTCAAAAGGGCGTTATATTAAAGGAGTACAACGCGTGTGTTGCGAGTGTGTGAAACCACACGCATTGATGAGTGAAAGGAAAACGCCAATATATTGTATTTTCGCAATGTAAATTTAATCTACAAACGAGTTGGACTAGGATGGTGTTATTAAAATATTATTATTTTCCTACACGATTTCCGGTCATTAAAATGCACAAAAAAAAAAAACAGACAATAATGATATAATTTTTACATATTTTTATTACGATATTTTTCTTGTTAGATTAGCTGAACACAAAAGTTTGGACCAAATCACCCTCCACAGAACACCTGACGAAGAGACTCTTACCACCGTTCCAGGTGTTTTTATCGACTACTGATGTTTTCAAACTATAGATACATTGCGCAAGGTGTTTTTTGACCACCTGTTATTTTTCTAAATATATTAAACAAAAGTTGATTATTTTTGTCTGAATATTAAATTTATATAATAGTTTATATTGTTGAAAAACTAAAATTTATTTGTGTTC